CCGCCCCCCAGCCACAACAGGAATCCCAGCAATGCCAGCAATGCCGTGTCCTCCTCTTTGCCCTCAGAAGGGTCAGGTCTCTGTCTAAACAGGAAGCCGAGATCAGCCAGGCCAGTGCTGCTCAGGCTTCTGGTCCCAAACACTGAGGATTAGAGGGGCGACAGCGCTGCAGGAGCCGATGCTGCTCCTGGCCCCGTGTCCTTCCCTGCTCCCAGCCCAGCACAGGTAGTTATGGGGGGCTTCCAGGCCACTCTCCTCCTCGGGACCTTCACTGCCAGGCAGGGTGTTTCCTCACTTCTCTGCAAGATCCTTCTTTTTTAGCAAAGCACAGTGAGTAGCTAGGGCAAAGGCAGCACTGAGAAAGGGGAGCCGTGGCAGTGGGGGGAACGGCGAGGGTCCCCCTCCTTCATCAGCAGAGACTAACTCAGAACAAGCCGGGACCCCTAAACCAGGGACCGCATTAAACAAACAAACATCATGCTGCACGCACCACGGGCAGAACTGCTGCAGTTTGCACTTAGAGATCTCCCACCGCTTGCTTTCTGTGCCTAAAATAAGCTTTTTCCTCCTCTGGTTTCCCCATGCCAATATTTTGGGATTACTTTATTCCTTCAAGAACACAACTACCCTTCTGCTTTAGGAAGGACATGCATTCCTTGAACTCCAGCCAAATCCAAAGCAGCCTCCTGCACCCAGCCCAGCCAGCAAATGCCCTTGCAACACCGTGGTAGTGTCTTGCTGCTGGGTGCAAGGCCAGTGCAAACCACGCGTTCTAAGTGCAAACTCCTATCAAACAAACCATCCTGGCATCCTTTTCCCAAACAGCACCCCGTGACAAATAAACAGACGTTACAAGTGTCGCTGGCAGATCTGATCTGCAAATTCATGGCTTACATCTCTGCTGTCTTACAATAGACCAAGAAAGCCTGAGTGCACATTTCAAGTATGTTCTTCACCATGAAGAAATTATTATTTTATCGAATTTGTGTCCTTATCCTGCCATTTGTCTATGATTTTTCTAGATTATGCTTAAATTTATTTATATCAGTCAACAAGAATGTTTTGGTGTGGGGTTTTTTTCCCCCTAAGGTTTAAGCCCTCAAAGTCATGCCAATCCTTCCACAGTGATGCAGAATTACATGATTTGGGAGCTGGAGCTGCATTCTTTCAAGTCTTCTCTTGCAGGGCAGAGGAGAAAACAACTGTTTATAAGAGCTCTTGATGGTGTAACAGTTATTCTGTCCCAAACCCCATGTGGAACCAAGGTGGGCAAACCTAATGCCATAAAGGACTTGTCAATTTGTGTGCCAGCCACAATATTAGCCACCAACAAGAGGACAGGGCAGCGAGTAGGAAAGCTGCTGAGAAAAAAACACAAAGGATTTACCCCTTGACAGTTTGAAACAGAAGAGCCTTACAATTTGTGTCCTCTCCTCCTCCTCTGGCAATGAGAAAAGAGGGGCTGAGAAAGGAGCAGGGCGACAGTCAAGCCATGGTAGGAGTGCTCAGCCTTATGAGCAGGTCCGGTGCTCATGGGATCCCATGAGGCTACCGGAAAGACACCTCATCCATTACTCAACATCCCTGTGAGTATCTTCAGTTCCTTCCAGTTAAGAGTGCTTTTCCCAGGAGCAAGCCATCCCTGGAAGACAGGGCAGACCCGTCGCTGCGACCCACAGATCAGACCATGTTGCCCATGGCCACACCATCACGCATGTCAGACCAAGGTCCAACCACCACCCAAGGGGCCGTCCTGTGCATGGAAGAGCAGTCAAGCTGCCGCAGTTTTAAGCCTGTGGGCAGTGAGCTCGTCCAGGTGTGTGGTTTGCTCACCTCCCAGCCTGCCCTTGAAGACCTTCCAGTTGTGCAGGCGAGAGGCTGAGGAGCAGAGGAAAAGCTCCTCTCCTGGCTATCAGCCAAGCATTATATGGCAAGAGAGCCCCATATCCTGACTATAAGTATTTTGGGAAGGCAGATGACTTCATTACCAGCTGACATCCCCTGACCTACTTGCTGTTAAACAAGCTCACTGCTGGCCGGCCCCAGAGCTCGTTACTCAGCACTTTAATTTGCACATTGACATTTAGCGGGCACTAACCTGCTGGCATACCCAGGCATTTTCACGCAGCTGAAGCGCTCACGCAAGCGGTAAAACACCAACCTACCTCTTCCACAAGTGGTCCCCTGTTACTTTTGAACTGGGACCGACCCACAGGGAAATCCTCCAAATTGTGGACGTGCTACAGTTTTCACCCAGTGCCGGCAGCCCCAAGTCCTGCACCCACCTTCCATCCCATCTCATCCCCACCCAGGCAGCGCAGGAGGCGGCAGCACGAGCATGGAGATGGCCCTGCTACAGCTCGAGCTGTGGCTAATTCCGGCCACGGCACACGGGACGCCTGGGTACCACCGGGCACGGCCAGCACCAGGGACGTGCCAAACATTGACGGTGTGGGGCGTGAAGCTTGCAGGCACCACACCTGGGTTACACAGGGATCTCGAGGGAGAGAGAGATGGTGAAAAATACTGAGTTATGAATAACCTGGGGCACAGGCTTTACGAGAGAAGGCTGGAGGAGGAGATGGGGGAGCGGTGCCCCTGCCACCCTGCAGCAGAAGGGGAAGGAGCATCCTCGCCACACTCACCCTGATGCGCCGCATGGCCGTCACGATCTCCACCCGGCTGTTTGGCCGCGGCACATCCAGGCTTCCGATGTACTGGAGGGAAAGAAAATGCAGATTAATTGAGTTTTCACAGCACTGGATAGCTCACAATCCCACCACAGCCTTGATGGCATCCCCAGAAGGAACTCAGGGATGCTTCTGGGGAACAGGAGAAGTTTTTGCCCACGGCACCTGAAGCCTTGAATGCCTCCCACCATGAAGCTGCTTCCTTCATGTGAAACCACAATGTTTCAAGGATTCAGCCATCCTTATTCTGACAATAAAATAACTTCAGTCATCAGGCCAGCAGGCCTCATTCATCTACACCATGATCAAAGTACATAGGTACAAGCCAATATCCCCTAGGCTGCACTGAGTCATTTATTACAGACCTGGATATTGGAATATCCCTAAAATAGCTGGGGTAACCTGCCCTGTGACAGGTCCTTCGTTATTTAATTACAGCCCTGCCAAACCCGTGGCTGTTTTTGAAGAGATGCTGAGCCTCCAGGCCAAGCCTTCAGAATAAAAGAGCCTCTTTGCCATTCAAAGGGGACCAAAGGCAGCACCACCGTGACCCGGCACGGAAAGATGCTGAACAAAAACCTTTTTAAAAATAAAATGGAAGAGGGCAGATTCAGAAGAAGGATCAGAAAACAGACAAGCGATGAAGAGTCTCCGCTGAGCGCTAAAACCATGTAGTTAGAAGAAAAGCGTTTTGAGGCTATTTACTAGCCCCCTGTGCTCCCACGCTTCATCCCGACACGAGCGCTGATGTAAAACTCGGCAGCGCCACGCAGGCGCTCAGCCTGGCAGGGCTACATGTTCCTGTGAATACAGCTACGACCTTTGCTGACAGCGTGAAAACCCAGGTCACCGCTTCCAAGCACCAGTGCTGAAACGGGCACTTAAATAGCTGAACCTGTGCTCAGGGTCATCAAAGAGGCAGAGGCCACAGGCAGGGGTTATCTCGCACCCAGCATCGCTGTGGGACGCCCGGCTCCTCTCCGCTGGGATGCTGCTGCCACCTCTTTTGAGGACACAGTGAGAGGGCTGCGAGACCACACCTGGGCTTTCTCTGTGCATGTCATTCCCGAGAGCCCTCCTCACTAACCCTCTGCACCCCAAACTCAACAAGCCCCCCTCATGCCCAGCGAGGCCATCCCCAGCCACGCGGCTCCTGCCCCGGCCACAAGCGTCCAGCAACCGGCACCGGGCACTCAGTGCTGAGAGTAGATGCGAAGGGAGAGGATATAAAAATAATCACCAAACAGCTGGCGTGTCCGTCACGTGCTGAGCAGGCTGCCACAGTGCAGGGCAGCTTTATGTAACCGGGAATTAAAGCCCACGCTGCCGGCAAAGGCAGCACTAACTGCCCAGACCCCAACTGCTGAATGCCCGGCTGCAAAAGCACAGCTCTTGATAAGTTTTCAGTGGCACCCCCTAAACAGAGCATTCCCATGCCCTCAGAGGTTCAGGCCGTATTAAGAGGCATCCTTGACATCATTTGATTCCCTTTCCTTATAAAAAGTCTGGACAAGTTTTCAGTGGCACCCCCTAAACAAAGCATTCCCATGCCCTCAGAGGTTCAGGCCATATTAAGAGGCATCCTTGACAGAATTTGATTCCCTTTCCTTATAAAAAGTCTGGAAATCATCAATAAAAAGTAGGAGATGAGGAGGAGGGTCGAGGCAGCAGGAGCCCTGGATACACAGCCACTGAGCAGCACGTAAGAAGAAACCTTTCCCCATCCTCCGCTGCCAGGCGAACGTGTCAGCTGCACAGCACCTCTGCCCCTGAGCATCCCCACGCTGCTCTTCTGCCAAGGACCCGCTTCCCACACACCTACAAGGGAAACTTCTTAGTGTACATGAGAAAGATAGACATTTGCAGAGAGAGGACACCCATCATCCAGCTACTCCCAGGAGCGTGAGGTCACTGCCACTGGAGGTAATTTCTTTCCTTACGCAGGCAAGCACAGAGCATGGCCACATGCAAGGACAGCCCATCCACCACTGGCTCCCACAGCCACACGAATTTGAGCAAAGCCAACCTCCTGGCTGGCCTCAGCCAGCAGCAACACTCAGTCATGCCTGTAATTGCATCTGCACGACTGTCAGGGCTGGGCCACCCCATAAGCAAGTGATGGAGCAGGAACCAGACACCACCTTGGACCGGACAGCACCTCCTTGGATGGCCCTCTTGAAAAACGCCACAAGCAGCAAGAATGTCTCGATGCTGTCCTACCTATGTCCCTTTATTCAGCTATTCCCCTCCAGCTCATGTTCCAAACCAAGAGGCTGAGGTCACAAACCGTGCAGGATTCACTTTTGCCCCCAAACCCAGGCTCCAGGGCGTCCTGCTGCACCCCACATCCCACGGCAGCGCCTGTATCCCACCAGAGCCCGCGACACCTCCAGCCCCAGCGTGGTCTCACTTCACACAAATACTGTGCTCACAGCTCCGAAAACACCCACCGCTCTCCCGCTCCGGAGGCAGGTGGTTTTTTTTTGCACGTTTCATGAAACTCAACAGATGGACAAAGTACCCCCAGATTATTTCTACATTCAGGGCAGAAATTGCATGTGGGAACTGCACTGCAGAGGAGTAGCCCTTCACAATATGGTGAGCATCAGCCCAAAAAACGCTGACTTGGAAATCGGTCTCTCAGTTAAACTCCTATCTCCCAAGCGAGGAGCGGGCAGAGCCTGAGAAACCACCCGTATTCACCAGTAATTTGCAGCGATAAGCGCACTGAGGGCTGCTCCACTCTCCTCCAGCCCTCCTACTCACAGCACTGACTTTGATTTCGGTAAGAGGTGTGGGAAAAAGTAGGCAAGGAAGAAGTGAGAACCAGCAAAGCAGCGGGACCCTCTGGAGTGCAGGACTCTCCCCTCATCCCACCCCAATGCTGAGACCCAGCTCCCTCCTCCCAGGGCAGGAGCCTCAGGGATCCCTGAGTATGGGGGTGCTCCCAGACTCCAGGTACAGGCTTTTGCCTTCCCTTAAAATCTGTGTGCCCAGAGTGATGAGGTGCTGAGGGCGGCGGTGGCTCTGGTCACCAAAAGGGCCAATGTCCTGGCTCTCAGGGCTCGGGCCAGCATCCATGCCAGCAGGTCGACCCCGTGGGGAAGGAAGGCAGCAGGGCTGGGGCTGAGCTCAGGGAGGAGAAAGGAAGGCGGCTGAGACAAAAGGAAGGGAAATAAAGCTGTGTGAAAAAGAGAGCTGACAAAGAAAATAAACGCGTGAAAGAACCCACCCTCCCCAAGGCCACGGGAACCGAGGAGGGGGAAAACATATGTACATACGAAGGGCATGGCTTTCCCAAATAATCACCTCCAGATCTGCGGGTCCACCGCCCTGCTGGTGGACAGAGGTGGAGCCCCCACCTGCACCCAAGAGCCAGGTGGGATTAGGGGGTCACCGATAGCCGCGGTCTGAAGGCGGTGGGGCACAGACAACTTGGTGGGGAGGAGAGCCCCAGGCAGCCCCCTCCTTCCCGACGCAATTAGGAGGAGAAAGGCCGCCCACTCGGCGGCAGTGAATGGGCAGCCGAGGGGGTCCCTCCGGTAATGAGGCGCTCTGGCAGCCCCACAAAGGCAGCCCCCGCATCGCAAACAGCCAGAGCCGCTCGGGGCTGCAGGCACAAAGCACCGATTCTGCAGGGGGCTTTCAGTCCACCCGGTGCCCTGCCGCTCCTCATCCTTGCACACAGGATCCTGTCTCCCATCGGTCCATCCTTGGCCCCTGGGAAGGGCAGCACCTCTCCCTTGTCATGGCACAGGCTTGGTGGCCATCACCCATCAGGCTTCTTGGCATCCAGAGGGAAGTTGCTGGCTGTTCCCCTCCCATGCAGACAGGCTCTTCTGTTTGTCCCAGGCATGGCTGGAAGAGCCTCCAGACACCACCCACACCACATACCCTCCACCTACAGCTTACAGAAGACCTGTCCAGTTCAGGGAAATATCCTGGCAAGAGGTGAAAAAGCCAAGAAGACAAAAGAGAGCATTTTGCCAAAACAACGTTTGCACAAGTCGCTTAGTTTCTCATTTTTCATTGAGGTTGGTTTAATATTGCCTATTTTCTGCTCCCTCAGAAATGAATTTTCTCAATAAGGTGCTTTGTCCATGACAGCAGGTGACAAGTATTTTCAGGAAACTGAAGGCCAATCACATCCCTGACAGGGAGACACCTTCTGATGGGTGTTGATGACAACCCTTGAGGGTGGCAGGCAGTGGTGGGCCGCTGCTGCCCTCCCAAGGGAGGCACAGCGCTG